GGGTTTGCTGTATTTTATAATGTTGAATTGTGTGGAATTGACTTTCAAATTGAGCTTGAGCGCGATCGTATTGAAAAGGTGGTAGATCCCTCCCAACAGCAGACGACCGCTCCGGATGGCGGTCCTGTTGCCCCTGAACCAAGTCGTTTCGTTTCAATCAGAGAAAATGAGGTAGGAAGTTTATACAGGATCAATCAAACAAGAATACGTTGAGCAAAACTTTGTATGACATGAAACTTTTGTATAATTTTTTTGAGTTACCAGAAATAAATGAAAAGCTATCATTGAAAGTAACAGTGACTCGCAGTAACTGGAGCAGTTAGGCCGAACCTGATGACCCGTGATGACGAGGCGAGTGACGTCATGTTACCAATATCAAGTGAATTTCCAGAAGATTTTTTTGTGTGATTTTTAAAAGTTATTTTGGCATTAAACAGAATTTAAATGCTTTACTTTGTCGATATTATTTTGGAACATAACAATCTCTTATTCAATCATTGAAAAAAGGTACTATTCGCAACACGGATATATAAAACAATGATTACTGTGCGTTGGTTTTGACCTATATAGAAACAGCTGATTGCATAGTTGAAGTAAATAGTAGTTTTCTGGCGATTTTTCCATTTTAATTGGTTATGTAATAAATAGAATCTTACACTCGTGTCAGTGTATTATGGAATTTATTAAACGAGTTCAATAATTTGATATGCCACGAGCCGATGATACATTGACACTCATGTAAGATCCTCTATATCTTTTACCATCTCGTCACAGTATTCTATACCTTAAATGCACATAGATTATGGTACAACCGGAAAGCTGGTCGTTTCCTTACCATCTCGTACACTACGTACGTCAGCGGTAGTACGCTTCACACCAGTTATTTGTCTATGAAGGTGACCAGGTAGTCATGGAAAAGTCACACTCTAATGTTCTACTGGTTGCGAAATAAGAATTTCCATTATATTGACATATGTGTGATAGTTTATTATTTCGAGAAATTAAGTAATAAAAAGATGACAAAGAAATCACTTTGAGAGCAATATCCCTAGGCGGGGTCCTGTTTTGTGTGTTTTGTCTTTTTGATTCTGTGTGGCTTTTTTAATTTTTTGTTTTTTTTTGTTTTTTTGTTTTTTTTTTTTGTTTTGTTTTTTTGGGTTTTTTTTGTTTTAGAGGTTTTTTATTTAAAGCTCGATTGCAGGAGGAAATATGAAATACAGACATGTATAATGAATCAATATCTCATGGAATGACAAGGACAAAGAATACTTCGGCAAAGAAGAAATTTGTCTTGTGTTGAGCAGTTTCCATTCCATGTCATTATCATGATTTGGCGTCTCTTTATCGAGCTTTTAAGGCTGTGATACATTGGGAAAAAACCTTCCGTTTCGAAACATCGTCAATTTTTGATCACATTGAATTGATACTAATACATTGCCTTCGTCCACAGAACATAATCAAAATGTCATTTTCTTGGAATTGGATTCACATAAGCTTTGCAAAATGATGTTCAGCATTGATTTGATGAATTCCCCAATAAACAATTAAGTAATTATCACGATACTGTGAGGAAACACGTGTTTTAATCTATTTGACGTTTATTGCCGTTTTTGTATGTGTTGTAATTAATCTTTATTGTCTGTGTTATGCAATGTTTCTTGGGGACAACTTACACAGAACTCCTCACGTTAACAAGACTCCAGTTTTACTTGATCATTGGAAGTTACTATGGAATTTGTACACAAGATACAAATTAAGAGTTAAATACAACAGAGCCCAATAATGAAGAAAACTGCGTGTTTCAGCAGTTCTGTCCTTCTCGGACACATTAGTGATGATACAGGCCTAAACACTTTGGAGGCCACTGAGAATTCCCATATTATTGAATTGTATAACAGACAGCCTTGAAGTTGTGGTTTTTGTAATGATGTAATTCCTTTCATTGTATGACAAACGGCTCTAACGTTCGCCGTTTTAACCATTGAACGTCTGGCACCCATATTGTATTCACAATGACCATAAATACAATCAGACAGAAGATCAGTGTTTATATTTACATCTTGGATATTATTTTTATTCAAATTCAAAGTTGTTTTTATTCACTTTCGGAAAAGTCTCTTGAAAATCATAGTCAGCTAAATGATTCATGTAAAGCAATACTGCACGTTACCTGAGGCGACGTGGAAAGCGTTGACGTAACGTCGATCAACATAGCACAAAATGACGCCATAGTATTGTCCTGTGGTGCAGACTGCATCTATACTCCTGTGAATACAGTCCAGATTAATACTGAGTTGTTGTGAGGCTTTCACGCGAAATGTAAATATATAGTCATCTACCTCAGTACATTTTCCAAAATCAAATTTCATTTCCATATTTTAGAATTATTTTTTTTTTAAAAAAACCACCACAGGTAAGACAGTCACTGGATAGGCTGGTCTACATCAACGAAAACACTAGGAATCAGTTGACACCAGATACGCCATGTCTACAAACTATACTGATCTTATAGGGTATAGAACGACAACAAACACAAAATATTCACCGTCATTGATGGAATTTTACAAATTAAACACAAAAAGGCCATCCGTTTTTAGTATAACATTGACATTGGCCGGAGTGACAATGTAAGACATCTTTTATAATTATAAAGGTCTACGTTTATAACATTTAACGACAACATCATGAGTACAAGTCAATTTCGCCTCTTTAACAACTGGAAAATAGGATTATTCACGGTAAACAATTTAACAGTTATCCTAATGATGCCGGTGACACTGATAATCTAATATTAACATGGTAGTGTTTACTGTTTTTTAATATACGGGTTTCAAGGGCAATATCCCTGCATATCCAACCTACTGTATCTTACATGTCACAGTGGACTCGATATTCAAGGGCACGGTTCCATTATCACCATTATCGTGCGAGAAGTCGTCACTTGACCGACAAACTCGTTACACAAGGGTTCAAAAGATGCAGGTTGATGGAAATGATAGGAAAGTGTTATGTACATTCTATCTCTTTGTGCAACATGACGCTAGACGTATTTGATGCTCGTTATTTGTTCTGTTGGTTCCGTTGTTTTATACCTTGTTCTTATTCGACAGCGTGACATTACTGACTTGAATTGAGGTTAACATGGCAGTCGTCAATGAACCAGAAGACGCTTACTCTTCTGGAACACCTGAGATATTATTCTCCGTGTAAATCTTTCTTTTGTTTATATTTTGCAGTAGTTTTACGGAATTTGAGTTTGAATTCTGATAATGATGCCATGTTGGTATTTTTTTACCAGATTCTCTGATGAAGTGATCTCCATATCACATTATCAGCACAACACCAATATCATCAGATACTGACCCTACAGGAATTCATTTAACAGAAACGATGAGAGTGGACGAGCAAGTAATGATGAATCGTTTAAAGATTAGCAAATTCATTTTGATGACTTGAAATGATCGTTCTCAAAATATTGTTATTTGTAACAATCTCAGAATATTCATTAAAGTTTGTAACAATCTTAGAATATTCATTGATATTGTAAGCAATCTCAGAATGTTCATTGATGTTTGTTACAACCTCAGAATATTTATTAATATTTGTAGCAACCTCAGAATATTCATTTTTAATACTTTATGGGTGTTTGTAACATACCCAGGATGTATTTTGTGTTTCTGAATCACCCCTAGAGTATTCGGCCAGGAAAAGATTTTTAAAGATATTTCATTGCTAGTAATATGCTGAGATTTTGTGGCACAGGTATTTTGTATGAAGGAGTGAAGTTTCCATGGTTGTTTATAGTTTAGGTTAATCTTGTAGTAAAACTTACGTTATTTTGTCAGCACAAATACGGTTGTCTTGCTCGGAATTAGTTGACCGTTAGAAAACATGTATTATTGAGTGTAGTCGTCAGGTAATGACAATAATAGCGACCATTTAACAATTACGTAGTCACAATGCAGATCAAGGTTTGGGAATCCAGATTAGGAAGAATGTCCGGATTTTAATTTTATACCCTTTTTTATATAAATGTATTTTTGGAATATATTTATTTGTTATGAAAACAGTATTGTGACGTGGTACAGTCTGGTATAAACCATTAAATCATTAGGGCTCCATTATCAGTGACAAGTCCAATCTAGTTCAGGGCTCGTATTACTTTCCAGTATACGACAGCTACTGATGGTGTGTGACACACAATTATGTAACAGTAAACATATACTTACTCTGTACATGTAAGTAAGAATCAATGAACAGTTTCTACAGATTATAGATTGTTTCTGAGGTAGTTCCTATCACACAGTATTCTCAGTTCTTAATGGGATATATCAGATGCTCTCTGTATTTCGACGTCCATATTTCCTCAGATATTCTCTTTATTTCGATGTCCATATTTTGACCGATATTCTCTGTATTTCGACATCCATATTTTGACAGATGTTCTCGGTATTTAGACGTCAGATTTTGACAGATCTACTCCTCATTTCTACGTTCAGATTTTGAAAACGCGATTGATGTACAGTTTATAAACAGTGCCCAAAATATGGATATCCTCACATATACGGTCTCTTTTGTCTTGAGTTCTGTTCTTCATTATAAAAGCAGAACAGTTTCCATGGTAATGATTCAGATTATTGTATTACTAACACCAATTGATTGTACTGGATGGTTAGTGGTGGAGAGTTTAGAACTTTCTATCTATCACCTCTAAACTGATGTTAAAGTAAAGTAAATAATTAAACAAACAACTTTTTCTATAATTATTTGTTTAATGTGAATTCCGTAAAAAAAATAGGGCACCTGTCCCCTAACATCGCCTTCCTCTCTTGTAAACATTAATAACACGTGATTCCGCGTTGTAGAATTAACAGGAACCTGTTTGTACAGACGTGTCTCTACCTTAAGGTATGGATTCCAGAACCGTGTACATAGTCCTGTTTATCAACATGCAGCCTTATAAATATCCATATACAGCTCCTTGTACTTTAAGAAATAATCTACCTGGCTGCACCCGTCCCGCTCATGCCACTCATCATACTGGCCATTCCACCCATACCACCCATCAAACTAGCTAGTCCACCCATTCCGCCCATTGCCGGCGACATCATGGACATCATAGGATTCATTCCGGCCATGCTTCCCGACATTCCACCGCTGGATTCAAGCATGTCAAGCATGGCTGCCTGCATCATCATATTAGCTAATGGATTTCCACTGTTTCCACTGTTGGTGTTGGAATTCGTATTTCTCTTTCCGGAACCAGGTGGAGTTTGACCTCTGTTGTTGTTGCTGTTGTTGTTATTGTTGTTGTTGTTGTTCTGGTTAAGCATGCTTATCACAAATAGTGGATTGTCCATCAGCTGTTGCATTGCTTGCATCATTTGAGAATGAACTAAAACAGTAGAATATACATCAATCAGTCAATCAGTCAATCAATCAATATCAATCACAATCAGTCACAATCAATCAATCAGTCAGTCAGACAATCAACCATTAATTATATCAATGAATCAATTAATCAATCAATTAATCTAATTATATAATGCGATAACTGTGACATTATTTGTTATACATCTATGGTTTACAAGAAAAAAGAAAGAAATATTACAAGGTTATTTGACGGAGAGATATATCGTACATATATTAAGGTTTTTAAGTGTATCAGAATAATCAGTGGCACATATTTTACTGATCTTTAAGTAGCAATTGTTCTCACATTGTTCTCAAAATATCGGCGATAAATTTGTACTAATCGGTAAGATATGGATCCTATACAACAGCTGCACAATCCACAAATGCCTCCACGATGACGTATCTATGATGTGACGACATGTTTATGTATGCACACCTGCCTAAGGTGTATATAACAGAAACAGGCAGGGAACATTGACACCAGGCCAACGCGGGTTATTACAATTTCTGTCAAAGAACCATCAACACTTCAACAATATGTAGATATACAGCTCAATCTCTGTGGCAATATTTTCCATTTATTCCTAGTATAGCCCATAGTTTTCTAAGTAATACATTATATTTCTACAGTTATATAGATGTGGCCATGTAGCACTAGGTATGTATAGTTGACAAAACAGGATATGTTCATTCCTGTCAAAATATTGTACATTATCTGTACCTAGAGGTACTCAAGTTGTAAGGAAGGAACTGGTCTATATGAATAAATGACAGAACTATTCCGAAATATTTTCTTTTGGTTTGTAAACAATATTAAATATAGCAGAGCGTTTCAATGCAAGACACACTACATACCTTCATCAAGAAATTTCTTAAAGTGTTTGTAAATTTAAGTGTTAAGTATATATTTGGTTGCAATCAAGTTATAACCAGATCATACAGTCCCTTTATCTCGATTCCGAACAGACCCAAAGCGGAGTATCCAGACAAAGACACAGACTCTTTTTTACGGGATTTACGGGGATATTGTTCTCTAACATTCAAGGTTTATGATAACTCCAAAATGGTATAGAGAGCCACAGAATTAGTATTAACAGGGATAGCAGGTAGATAAATCATTGTTTTACTTATAATTTAGAACAGTTCTTCTGTATTAAACGACAATTGTTTACAGCGGAAGTCCAACTTCACTGACATAACTAAATATAGTATCAAAGTACCCTCCAGTTTGTTTTTATCGCTGATTCACATATTGAAAATCATTTTGAATAATCCGAGCTTTCTATCCTAACCTGAGAAGAAACAGATCACACTCCGGAATAACTAACGGATGACACAAAATCGATTTTGACGACACAGCCAGCGTTCATTTCGTCTAAGTCTTGTGCCTCTAGATTAAGTATTCCAAAACTATGTTAATCTTTAGTTTGAATTCATATTTCGCCCTTCCGAGAGCTACCAAAAGCTGCGAGTGATGATGATAGTGTACTTCAATCATAGCATTCACCTGTTCCTATTATATTGACACCAGATAAATCAGTCGTCATACTTTCACAATGCTAAACCTTTAAGCAAGAAATTGTAACAACAATTTTAAATACTTTCTCTTAGTCAGGGAAAATAACCCAAAACTTTCTTCAGAGAGGCTAAATCTCAAGTAAAGACCAAAAGTAGGGTAGTTTCAAGAGAACATTAAGACAAAGTGGTTCAAATAAATGAGAAAGATGAGATCCCGTGTTTATCGTGTCTTATAATCAAGCTATGGGATCTACGCCTTACCTGATATACTGATATGTTACTATCTAATACTCACTTCTCCGTTTAATGTTACCTTTCACTGTATATGTCTTCATTATGAAAAAGAGCTAGAATTTTAGCAGGCTCCTAATGCCAAAACCAATTATCGGTTTGACAGTCATTCGACATATGCATGTTAATCCGATTTTTGTAAATTATCAGTTTCCGATTCTCTTCATTCGGGAAAGTAAAATTTCATTAAAAACATGATTTACCAAAATACTCACAAGTAAACAGCCCATGTTGATGTAAATTTAGATACAGAAATGTCAAACTATGAAATAAACTGAATCATATATCTGTCGTCCTTTCATGACTCGTCAGTCATGCTAAGGCTATTAACGTTAAAATCGAGCTTGGTACATTTCGTAATTTTCCTATTTTCACAAAAATGTCAGTGACGTGTGTATTCTGAACCGTACCACTGATGGAATAGGTAAAATCGTGACATGCATGTTACAGTAAACCTCGTGGACTAATAGTCCAAATACAGTGTCTACCATATGCAATTACAAACATTGTGCAAAAGACACAAAAGTAATTAGCCGTGTTTAATACAAGTTTAGATCAAATACAATAAAGCCAACAAGTAAATAAAACTGCATCAAACAGCAAATGAATACCCACATGACAAACGAATCTCCACTCGAGTTCAAAATCGATGAAAATATGTTAAAATGCAAAAGAAAATTCTAGTCGCCATGCAATTCTGTGATAATGTCAATCTCAAATAAAGAGAAAACCCGTTCTATTGACAACACAACCACAATTTGAGAAAATGATTCTGACCAAAGGACATACCAACAGTTAATTAAGGTGTTTACGTACGGTCTCCAGGTGTATACGAGATGAGGGGATGTGTTGATATATGTTATTCAATGTTCGTGTTGAATATCAACATTACTTCTAAACTAATATTTAATAATAGACATGAAATAACTTATTGATTTACAGGTCTGATATTTGGATAAGGAAGTACGTGTCTATATAACTATGTGAATCGATCAGAAAACACAGGCTACACAAACAGTCAAGAAATACCGATATGTTAAATTAAAGTTTGTTGAAACTGTTCCAGGATATAAACAGGAAAAAGATCGAGGACAATGATATAGAAACATCTGTTTCATTTTCATGTAAATTACAGATATACATATTTTATACTACGCACTTTATATCGAGATATAGGAAAGACTAAATCTACTGTCCACAGTAGGTCGATATAGGAAAGACTAAATCTACTGTCCACAGTAGGTCGATATAGGAAAGACTAAATCTGTTGCCACACTGTAGGTCGATATAAGAAAGACTAAATCTGCTGCCACATGTCGATATAAGAAAGACTAAATCTGCTGCCACACTGTAGGTCGATATAAGGAAGACTAAATCTGCTGTCACACTGTAAGTCGTTATAGGAAAGACTAAATCTGCTGCCACACTGTAGGTCTATATAAGAAAGACTAAATCTGCTGCCACATGTCGATATAAGAAAGACTAAATCTGCTGCCACAGGTCGATATAAGAAAGACTAAATCTGCTGCCACACTGTAGGTCGATATAAGAAAGACTAAATCTGCTGCCACACTGTAGGTCGATATAAGAAAGACTAAATCTGCTGCCACACTGTAGGTCGATATAGGAAAGAAAGCCACACTAAATCTGCTGCCACACTGTAGGTCGATATAAGAAAGACTAAATCTGCTGCCACACTGTAGGTCGATATAAGAAAGACTAAATCTGCTGCCACATGTCGATATAAGAAAGACTAAATCTGCTGCCACACTGTAGGTCGATATAAGAAAGACTAAATCTGCTGCCACATGTCGATATAAGAAAGACTAAATCTGCTGCCACACTGTAGGTCGATATAAGAAAGACTAAATCTGCTGCCATACTGTAGGTCGATATAAGAAAGACTAAATCTATACTGTCCACAGTAGGTCGATATAAGAAAGACTAAATCTGTTGCCACACTGTAGGTCGATATAAGAAAGACTAAATCTTCTGCCACACTGTAGGTCGATATAAGAAAGACTAAATCTGCTGCCACACTGTAGGTCGATATAAGAAATACTAAATCTGCTGCCAAACTGTAGGTCGATATAAGAAAGACTAAATCTGCTGCCACACTGTAGGTCGATATAAGAAAGACTAAATCTGCTGCCACACTGTAGGTCGATATAAGAAAGACTAAATCTGCTGCCACACTGTAGGTCGATATAAGAAAGACTAAATCTGCTGCCACACTGTAGGTCGATATAAGAAAGACTAAATCTGCTGCCACATGTCGATATAAGAAAGACTAAATCTGCTGCCACATGTCGATATAAGAAAGACTAAATCTGCTGCCACACTGTAGGTCTATATAAGAAAGACTAAATCTGCTGCCACACTGTAGGTCGATATAAGAAAGACTAAATCTGCTGCCACACTGTAGGTCGATATAAGAAAGACTAAATCTGTTGCCACACTGTAGGTCGATATAAGAAAGACTAAATCTTCTGCCACACTGTAGGTCGATATAGGAAAGACTAAATCTGTTGCCACACTGTAGGTCGATATAAGAAAGACTAAATCTGCTGCCACACTGTAGGTCGATATAAGACAGACTAAATATGCTGCCACACTGTAGGTCGATATAAGGAAGACTAAATCTGCTGCCACACTGTAGGTCAATATAAGAAAGACTAAATCTGCTGCCACACTGTAGGTCAATATAAGAAAGACTAAATCTGCTGCCACACTGTAGGTCGATATAAGAAAGACTAAATCTGCTGCCACACTGTAGGTCGATATAGGAAAGACTAAATCTGGTGCCACACTGTAGGTCGATATAGGAAAGACTAAATCTGCTGCTACATGTCGATATAAGAAAGCCTAAATCTGCTGCCACATGTCGATATAAGAAAGACTAAATCTGCTGCCACACTGTAGGTCGATATAAGAAAGACTAAATCTGCTGCCACACTGTAGGTCGATATAGGAAAGACTAAATCTGCTGCCACAGGTCGATATAAGAAAGACTAAATCTGCTGCCACAGGTCGATATAAGAAAGACTAAATCTGCTGCCACACTGTAGGTCGATATAAGAAAGACTAAATCTGCTGCCACACTGTAGGTCGATATAAGAAAGACTAAATCTGCTGCCACACTGTAGGTCGATATAAGAAAGACTAAATCTGGTGCCACACTGTAGGTCGATATAAGAAAGACTAAATCTGCTGCCACACTGTAGGTCGATATAAGAAAGACTAAATCTGCTGCCACACTGTAGGTCGATATAAGAAAGACTAAATCTGCTGCCACACTGTAGGTCGATATAAGAAAGACTAAATCTGCTGCCACATGTCGATATAAGAAAGACTAACACATGTCGATATAAGAAAGACTAAATCTTCTGCCACACTGTAGGTCGATATAGGAAAAACTAAATCTGTTGCCACACTGTAGGTCGATATAAGAAAGACTAAATCTGCTGCCACACTGTAGGTCTATATAAGAAAGACTAAATCTGCTGCCACACTGTAGGTCGATATAAGAAAGACTAAATCTGCTGCCACACTGTAGGTCGATATAAGAAAGACTAAATCTGCTGCCACACTGTAGGTCGATATAAGAAAGACTAAATCTGCTCCCACACTGTAGGTCGATATAAGAAAGACTAAATCTGCTGCCACACTGCCACACTGTAGGTCGATATAAGAAAGACTAAATCACTGCCACACTGTAGGTCGATATAAGAAAGACTAAATCTGCTGCCACACTGTAGGTCGATATAAGAAAGACTAAATCTGCTGCCACACTGTAGGTCGATATAAGAAAGACTAAATCTGCTGCCACACTGTAGGTCGATATAAGAAAGACTGCCAAAGGTCGATATGCTGTTGCCACACTGTAGGTCGATATAAGACAGACTAAATATGCTGCCACACTGTAGGTCGATATAAGACAGACTAAATATGCTGCCACACTGTAGGTCGATATAAGAAAGACTAAATCTGCTGCCACACTGTAGGTCGATATAAGAAAGACTAAATCTGCTGCCACACTGTAGGTCGATATAAGACAGACTAAATATGCTGCCACACTGTAGGTCGATATAAGAAAGACTAAATCTACTGTCCACAGTAGGTCGATATAGGAAAGACTAAATCTGTTGCCACACTGTAGGTCGATATAAGAAAGACTAAATCTGCTGCCACACTGTAGGTCGATATAAGAAAGACTAAATCTGCTGCCACATGTCGATGTAAGAAAGACTAAATCTGTTGCCACACTGTAGGTCGATATAAGAAAGACTAAATCTGCTGCCACACTGTAGGTCGATATAAGAAAGACTAAATCTGTTGCCACACTGTAGGTCGATATAAGACAGACTAAATATGCTGCCACACTGTAGGTCGATATAAGAAAGACTAAATCTGCTGCCACACTGTAGGTCGATATAAGAAAGACTAAATCTGCTGCAACAATGTATGTCGATATAAGAAAGACTAAATCTGCTGCCACACCGTAGGTCGATATAAGGAAGACTAAATCTGCTGCCACACTGTAGGTCGATATAAGAAAGACTAAATCTGCTGCCACACTGTAGGTCGATATAAGAAAGACTAAATCTGCTGCCACACTGTAGGTCGATATAAGAAAGACTAAATCTGCTGCCACATGTCGATATAAGAAAGACTAAATCTGCTGCCATACTGTAGGTCGATATAAGAAAGACTAAATCTGCTGCCACACTGTAGGTCGATATAAGAAAGACTAAATCTGCTGCCACACTGTAGGTCAATATAAGAAAGACTAAATCTGCTGCCACACTGTAGGTCGATATAAGGAAGACTAAATCTGCTGCCACACTGTAGGTCGATATAAGGAAGACTAAATCTGCTGCCACACTGTAGGTCAATATAAGAAAGACTAAATCTGCTGCCACACTGTAGGTCGATATAAGAAAGACTAAATCTGCTGCCACACTGTAGGTCGATATAAGAAAGACTAAATCTGCTGCCATACTGTAGGTCGATATAAGAAAGACTAAATCTGCTGCCACACTGTAGGTCGATATAAGAAAGACTAAATCTGCTGCCACACTGTAGGTCGATATAAGAAAGACTAAATCTGCTGCCACATGTCGATGTAAGAAAGACTAAATCTGTTGCCACACTGTAGGTCTATATCAGAAAGACTAAATATGTTGCCACACTGTAGGTCGATATAAGAAAGACTAAATCTGCTGCCACACTGTAGGTCGATATAAGAAAGACTAAATCTGCTGCCACACTGTAGGTCGATATAAGAAAGACTAAATCTGCTGCCACACTGTAGGTCGATATAAGAAAGACTAAATCTGCTGCCACACTGTAGGTCGATATAAGAAAGACTAAATCTGCTGCCACACTGTAGGTCGATATAAGAAAGACTAAATCTGCTGTCACACTGTAGGTCGATATAAGAAAGACTAAATCTGCTGCCACACTGTAGGTCGATATAAGAAAGACTAAATCTGCTGCCACACTGTAGGTCGTTATAGGAAAGACTAAATCTGCTGCCATACTGTAGGTCGATATAAGAAAGACTAAATCTGCTGCCATACTGTAGGTCGATATAGGAAAGACTAAATCTGCTGCCACACTGTAGGTCGATATAGGAAAGACTAAACCTTCTGCCACAGGTCGATATATGAAAGACGAAATCTGCTGCCACAGGCCGATATAAGAAAGACTAAATCTGCTGCCACACTGTAGGTCGATATAGGAAAGACTAAATCTGCTGCCACACTGTAGGTCGATATAGGAAAGACTAAATCTGCTGCCACATGTCGATATAGGAAAGACTAAATCTACTGCCACATGTCGATAAAGGAAAGACTAAATCTACTGCCACATGTCGATATTACAAAGACTAAATCTGCCACCCACTGGAGGTCGAGATATAAGGAAGAATACAACTGCAACTACTTGCTAAGAAAGAACACAAGTTTATATGTACACGTCGAAATGATAGAATAATGTATGAGAAAGAATATATTAGCTGCTTTCTACAGTAGGTCGAGATATAAGAAAGAGTGTATTTCCTAACACCCTCTGTAAACCGAATGAGAATATTTTGCTGCTACCTACAGCAAGTTGGTGTAAGAGAAAGAACATGTCTGCCGACCACTATAGGTGTTTACTGTCCTCTGTGTCGTAGGAACTGATTTTCTCTTTGCATAATTTAGACGTTTTTCTACCGAAAACATAACACGTAAACATTCCACTATGATTAAAAAGCACTGATGAAGTGGGCGACTTTTGTAATGGAAGAAACTTAAGGATAGGCCCTCAGCATCACTGACGAGTCGTATTAGGATGTAACTTCTGTAGGATGCAGTTTAAATCAGTTTAGGATATACTTAATCCAATTATTAAGATAAATTTAATTTTTTTATTTTTATGTGTGTCCCTTTTAAGAAGTGCTATGTACACACAGATATTACCCTTTTGAGAAAGTAGTGTAGGTTTTTATCATTTCTTGACATAGCAGAGAAGAAGGTACAGAGACTGGCACTCGACAGCAAAACCATCGACAAGTATGGCCAATAAAACATAAACATGGGACTTAATGTTAAGTCCCTCTTAATGTTTTTATCCAGACATCGTGTTTAAATTCCTACTTTTGTGTATAAAGTGAATAATAATGATATATTTAGTGTGTTGCATTTTAAATTCCTAGAAGGACAAAACTGTTGTATAATGCAGTTTAATTCATTATTTTGGCTCTCACTCTTAATTTGTATTCAAAGGTGGTATTCACTTTTGTGCCTTGTACAATCTTCAGATTTAATATCGTGTTTTCATGTAATAAGTGATGCTTTTATCATTATTAATGAATAGAGGATTAGTAATTAAATACATATATATGATGTTTTATATCTAATTGTATCTGTTCCCTGTACATCACATCGTCGTGGTCTATAAAAAGACCAGTACTGAAGAATTTCGCACTTGCTCATTCAAAATAAACTATGATTTAAATCTGGAAAGTATCTTTATAATGGTAAGAACGTGGTACATGAACTGAAACCCAGATCTAATTATCTGTATTATCGAATTTTTTCTCAGAGCCTTGTTGGGATGTTTATGTAAACTGCACATCTTTAGTCGATTGGAGAAGAATTTTTAAATGTATTAGCTTAGAACATGTAATTTTATAACAATTTTCATGGATTAAAATGCGTTTAATCAATATGGATAAACCTTCCATGCAATGTTGCAGACTCCGAAAAGTTCATCATTTTCTAACTTGTCCTCATTTAATTCTTTTATATTGATTTATATCAATTTTAGTTCTACTGAGATGTAATATGCACTTAGCCGTTCAAATCCCCGTTAATGATCAAAGCAATTTTTGTAATCGGTTGTATGTAACGATCTATAAAACTGATGCTAACTTTACATGTAAAATGCCTGTTTACCTAATATGGGTATTTCGATGTGTAAATTAACTTTATATGGATAATTTAATGTGTTATTAACCTTATATGGAGAGTTTAATGAGTTACGAACCTTATTTGGACAGCGTAATATGTAATTAATCTTATATGGATATTTTGATTTGTTTTCAAACTTCTATGGATAGCTTAGTGTGTGATTATGTTATATGTATTTTTGTAACATTTTTCTACCTGATAACGATATAGATGAGAATATCTACCTGTATTAATAGCGAGTCCGAGAATCAAGATCGCGATAGCTGTCTTCATCTTGTTTTAAGTCCTTGTCTAAAGTTAGTCCGTCAGGGAATAAACACAATGTCCGGCAAGCTAGAAAGTTGAGATAGGTGCTGACCGCTTGGAAAGTATTCAATCGTTTTATAGTCATGGACTCCAGAAAAGGGTCATATTTGATGAGTATTTAGGCATTAGGATGTGTATATTCTGACACGATGTGACAGATATTATTGTCTCAACATGTGATGACATCGCTCCATGTCAACTAAATGCACACCGTAAACAAGTCAATAAGCGTGTGTTATTTTATTATACAATTATCGTCCTCGACCGAGGGAGATATGGACATTTCATAACCCAAAGATTGTAATATTTACCGACAGGTAGCAAAAGGTTATACAATGATCTACATGTAGGCATAGAAACATCAAATGAGGTTAGAAATAACGCTATGTATTTTTGTATTTGATTGACTACAGATTGCTGTGAAAAAATATCATTAAATGAATGAATATATTGCCTTGTCATAAAGATTAATAAAAAAATGTGAATAGCACCTTTTAATACAAGTTTGAATAATATACAGTGGACAGGTGCTCTAGCCCACTAATTCATTTTTAATTTTCATATGTCTGATATATCTACTAATGTTAGAAGAACATCGAGTACAATGTGTACCGTGCCAATATTCGGCAATAGAATGACGTCACAACTGGACCTGAGGTTAATATAATTGATAGGACGTGAACTGATGGGTACTTGCGCCTGTGATACACACATCGCCATGTTCGTGGTAGTGAAAAGGCCAGCGAACTGTCACGTAGAGAAATGTTGGCCGTACATCTGAGTCATATCATCAAAAAAGTCATCTTTGACATTCAACTCAAAAGTAAAACATGTTCCCGTCGTATACATATGATGATATTACAATATATGTTTACCATAAGAAAACACTTTAAGTACAATAGTAAAGTAACTATTCTGTAACAACAGTCGTGGTATCAAGTGCTATATTAAAATTATAGAAGATCAAGTTACAATCTTTTGGTAACGTGGAATTAACCATGAGTTCATATTGATGAAAAAGTCGAACAGAAAGAAACAGTGATAGTTTGATAGAATATACAGATATTACACACCTCTATCATCGATTTTTGTTTGGTCCTAGAATACATAGAGAATATCTCACTCTAATGTATAACATTTATTTCATACTGCGGAATGGGGGATAGTTTTGTGAGTTCTCCTCTGACATTAAAAATGTCTCACGCGGAGGAGGAGTGTCAGTCCCTTTTATCATATTTCTGTTCTAAGTCAATTCTTTAATGAATCCATTTCCCCTATACCACCACAGAAAAAATCACGCGCACAATATATATGGTAAGTAAAACCATTAACAAGTACTCCATATTCGATGTTTGAAAGAGAAATTGAATATTTGTCATGCTATTATAAAAATTATCACTAGTAGGTGGTGAAATGTGTTTTACTGTAAATGGTTCGTTAGATGCTATGCAGTGAGGCTGGATTTTCGTTCCTTCATGTATACATATGTGTGATATACATTCACTTACTGTCGGTTTAATCAAATGTACAGTAATTCGCTCTATGTAAATTGATTCCAATCTTTTTCCCTTGGTGACGTTATAAGTGTTCACAATTCAAAACTGAATTTTAAATGAACATTTAAATTAAGGACAGTCCAACAATAAACCAAACGCTCCATACAGCAATTCGTCCTTCTTGGAATCGTTATTAATACGAAGGACTTACATGTAACTTTTGAAACCTAGGAGTCGACTCGGGGAAAACAAAAACGTAGATTAGGAAGTGATCAGGCATCTAATACAAGTTTAGAATTAGATACAGTAGAGACCAAATATTGAACCACAACGATACACATCTTGGAGTTTTAGTAATTATAAAGTCAGAAATCTCCATGGTGAAATATGTAACTACGGTTTCAATCATTTGTACAAATAACTTATCAGATGGAGATCTGATTTCGGGAAACGCCGAGCAGCATTACAGAAAATCTAAACTGATCTCTTTGAAGTCGATTACCGTTTTATTTCCGCCAAACATTAACTTTAGAAGCCTTTGCATAATAACATGTTCATGTCCTCCGGGAGATGGCGCTGCCAACATCAAAAGGAAGTTGGAGTTTAATACCTAAACAATGCAGTATAAAAATCAGCTCACGGGATTAACATTGGGATTTTATCAGTATTCCGAATTAAACATAAATTCCCCGTTTAAATGTTCAAAAGTCTTAAATAATTCTTCTTTTTTTCAAAAAATCACAAATTAAAAATTGAGATTAAAAATGGTTCAGCTTCACAGACTAATTGAAATAGTTATTGTATATCATTATATCATTCGTTTGCTAATATGGGTGTAACACAAATATTCATCAGAATAAATTCAGATTAACGTCGATTTAATCTCAGACTTACGTAAATAGTATTTAAACTTGGTACAAAGCCGGAAGCTGCCACGTGAAAGCCTTACCTGTAAATATGTTACGCTTAGTAAACTGTTAGTAACGTGAAGCTCATCTGTTCCTAAATTAATGCTCATTGTTATTGAAATACTGTAATTACAAAGCAAAACGTCAGGGTATGAATATAAAGGGTGATATTATAGCGAAACAGTGTGTCCTTGTTTGACGTGCAGCCTCTCATAAAGATGTCCTGTACGCGATATCAAATCTACTATGTTGATCGCCGTGATTGAGAGACAGGCGTACATAATCATAGTAAGATTAATTGATAAAGATACTGATGTGCCTGTTTACGATACCAGGAACTGATTCTTTAACCTTCTATGATTTTGTTAACTTGTACATAATAGCCTTGTAGCATGAGTAAGATGGTCATCGGACAAAAACAGTGTGATGTTATTGATGGTTTAATGACATCACACATGGATATGAAGAGGGTGACAGAAGCGTTAAGTTCCCATCATGCCATTTGTAATATATACCGCATTTATTTCCGCCTATATTGAGTTGCGCAAGCAGCCCGGAAGTTAATCGAATCAACCATTCAGAATTAATGATAGATTACTCAAGGGAGATAAGCAGAAATCATTGTCGTTAGCTTTTCTCATTATGGAAATAAACACTACAGGGAGATCTGAAAACAATTTGGTTTGATGTGATTAGCGTGCAATGCTGTCGTATAAAGGACAATTCCCATAAGTAATTCATTTCTGGATCTTTGCTCATCTGATGTCTAGGATTTTGATTACGTCAGAAACACCAAGTGTAATATCACGAGTTTCGAGTCGTTTACACGATAATACCCGCGCTGCATGTTTGTGCTGAAGCACAGCTGACGTCATCATCAGCAGTACATGTCGTTTTGTTTGACTAACAACAGCAGTTTGATATGTGATGGACTCCCGCTTTAAGTGACCACATAGTACCCATTACACGTCAGTTGTTCATTAGTTTGATTTTGAAGCTCGTTTTAATTGAAATAGCTAATATTTTCCCATTTAACAACATACGGGAGGACCGTCGATTACTGTCCACAGCAACAAGGATGCAATGTCTTCAAGGACACATTCCAGTTATCACAGACCATTTTGTTTCTCAACATCCCGAGAAAAACAAACCAACACGGGAAGTGAGTGTCGAACAACACAGTTAGTGTCTTCACCTTGGGTTACGTTATTGAAGACTCTATCGACTGATCATCAGCATCCCTGTCACAAATGTGACATTGAAGTTCCTTGGCGAGTGCGTGGACGCCTGTCACTGATGTTAGAGAATCAATATTACTAGTAATAGATTTTATTCATTATTTGACTATAAACTAATATCCATCATATTAATTTGTTTACAACAAGATACTGTAAGCGTACGTAATTTGGTGCAACCAGATATAGCATTAATTTTTTCTCATCCTTTTTTCATTAATTGGCAAAATAATGAATTAGCATGTCCAAAACCATTGTAATGTAAACAAAACACAGAAACTACAGTAAGCTAGTCATATTTCAGCGCTGAAATACAATGTAATATTACCGCTAAAGTATGCACGCTTACAGTACTTTCTACAAATTCATTGTTTGGATAATAAGCTGTAATGGCGAGTTTTATTGATATCAGTGACCTTGGGTGACACCGCTACGTCATACAATGACATCAAGAACAGAAATGCGGCACTAAAATGGATATAAACAGGCCATGTTTTGGTTTTGTGTCAGTTCATCGTGTTTATGTTATTCCGTAGTTACTTGTGTACCAATGACACTGCAGATTTACATGTTTTATATGTTTGCTATATCGAGTTCGTACGTTTACTTGATCCGTTCAGAATTTATCTAGACTGAAGTTCGAACATACACGAAAACGTTGCTTTTGTAATGAATACCTGAAGATGGTTGTCTAGTGGAGTTAAACATCACACAACTTTCTGCACTACACTTTCGTGCTAAATATTAAAGATGCTTCTCCGTCCACCCGGTTTATGGTCTAACTAAAGGTCACGAGTACCATCTGTAACTAGAGGTAGAATGTTACAACTGCTTTCTCCTTCCGGTTCACGTTCGGTCTGTAACTAAAGGTCACGAGTACCATCTGTAACTAGAGGTAACAGCTGCTTTCTCCTTCCGGTTCCGGTCACGAGTACCATCTGTAACTAGAGGTAACAGCTGCTTTCTCCGGTTCACGTTCGGTCTGTAGCTAAAGGTCACGAGTACCATCTGTAACTAGAGGTAACAACTGCTTTCTCCTTCCGGTTCACGTTCGGTCTGTAGCTAAAGGTCACGAGTACCATCTGTAACTAGAGGTAACAACTGCTTTCTCCTTCCGGTTCACGTTCGGTCTGTAACTAAAGGTACTTTCTCCACGCGAGTCGTATACATTCTACATTGTAATTACTTTTGTAGCCATTTATAGATTTTAGAAGTACACGTGCTTTCTCTATATGATATATCTTCTGTAAGCAAAGTTTGCTACTAATTAGTCCTGCCAGTTGATACCTGTTGAGCCGACGTCTACACCGCATGGAATCCTCAACAGTTATTTAATTATCACAGAAACTTTTGTCTAATTTCTAAGGTTAAAGGACCATTCCAACCTGTCAATGGTCAGTTAATGGTGATATAATTCTTGTTTGGAATTATTTGATCATAGAATAGTGTTGTACAATATTACATCGTCAATAGAAACGCGAGATATTTTTGTCAGAAATGTTCAACATAAAAGTGTTTAATTATAAAAGAGATGTTAATTAAGATAATGCGTTATATCGTTAAATTACAACTCGTGTGTCATTCTATTCTAGAATTCATTTTGTTCTCGAAATACGAATCCTGTTTATGTCATGTTAATTGTTTATCGTTAAATGTTAACATTTGTGAGTCATACGTAGATGTTTTATAATAACCTATATTGTTAAAATCCTTTGAACTTGTTTTTTTATATATCATTAAGATAGATTCCATTTTTTGGATGTTGGGATGTATCAAAGTTTATTGATTGCTATATACAACTTAATTTACAATATTCCCGTTTCACATGAGAGTATCTAAATAACTCCAAGTCATTATGGATTTTTTTCGTTTAACGATTGGACGGTCGTTAGATTGAAATGGTGTTGTTGGGCCCATGTCTGTGGCCACTAAATCAATAACTGGAGTTTTATCAATAAATTAACAGGTAGTTTTCTAAGACACAAATTTCCAGGTAATCCTAATACGCCTAAATGTATATCGTTATCCTACATATCACAAAGGTTTAGACATGTAGCACTTGTGTTATGGCTTGGTGTGTAGGGTCATTCGCGGACGGCCTGCCATTGTATGTAGGATGGATGCATGTGTCACGTGACTAACTGAGATGTTGTTTTAAGTACAAGCTTCTTTGTGATAATACGTAACTGGAAATGACAATATGGTAATACCACACTTAGACATATTGCCTCTAGCAGGACACCCCACCCTGTCATATCATAAGCTATAAGCACCATTTTTAAAGAAATCTAAAGCCTCGCACAGGCGAACGGGAAACTAAAGGCCATAAATGTTAAGAACGAAGATCATAAGAGAGAGCAGGTAAAGATCACAGAATTAGGTCGCCTCATATTGTTATGTAATGGGAACAGTAGATATCATTCTTACCCCCCACCTGCAGCGCAGTCTATTTTGATCTTTCAGCTGTCCGTTTCATAGAGTACTTCTCACTCCTTCGTTAGGATTGTTCGTCTTCCGCGATTGTCTTCGTCCCTCTCGATAATTCTAACTTTGCTTCTCTTCTTTTTTGTCAGTGATGTTACATCATACAGCTGTTCCGTCTTGTTAGGACTCATAAGTGATGTTACATCATACAGCTGTTCCGTCTTGTTAGGACTCGTCAGTGATGTTATATCATACAGCTGTTTCGTCCTTCTAGGACTCATCAGTGATGTTACATCATACAGCTGTTTTGTCTGTTAAGACTCGTCAGTGATCTTACATCATACGGCTGTTTTGTCTGTTAAGACTCGTCAGTGATGTTAGGGTCCTAAATGTTAAAACCTAGGAGGTATCTGAGGGAACCAATGAATGGTCACAGTCTAGACATATACTTACCCTATAATAAGGTATCTGTTTTTTCATAAGAAGGTCAAGTGCATGTGTATTTTCTGTACAGGGCCACTATCCGTATGAATTAAAACGTGGTATACAGATTACAGCATAAAACACGATCATGCTATTTTCTTTCGGAAAGCTCTAAACAACAAAAAGATCTATCTCCTTGTAATGCAGACTGGGTTCCAACCTCTAGGATGGACGCAGATTTTATCGTCTGTTGCATTTTCTTCCCGACGACTTATGACGTTGTCAAGGGTTATATCCTTGTTTTTACCCGGATTTCAGACGTAAGCTAGTTTCTTTTCAAACATTAAATATACTAAAGTCTCCTGGGATACATTTAAAAATCCAAGTGATCAAAACCAAGATGGATATGTGCTTTAGTTCCTTACTTCAATAAATTTCGGAATTATTGCTGATAATTGGAGAAGAACGCCAGGTACCTGTGTATATTTTGCTTTGTGTCACTTAGTTTTAGGTAATGACAAACCTCGGGCATTAAAAGTCTTCCATCTGTGCCTACCACCTGCAATCTCGAAAAGGTTATTCAGCTCATTTAACCTGTGTTTACTCTGTGCTAATTCAACAAATGAACGAATATTATTTAAATCAGATTTTGTTTTCTTCTTGCGTTGGGACTGGTCGACAATGATGGTATTTTCTCGTTACTATAAGAGTCACACAAACGTTTCATTGTGACGTCATTCCATCTTAATGGGATATCGTTTTCATAAATGCCATACTGTCTTTGACACACAGAGACATTTATATGTGTATATTGGTCGAGAAATAAGCACAACCAATCCGTTAAATTGAGATTGTGGACGAATTGCAGACTTTTAAGAGATGGTTTACTGATTAGGAAATTAACAATTCAGTAGTGTCTAGGTTTTATCTGTAACAGTGTAGATGTTGAGAGGTACAGGTCGCCTTACTAGCTTCGGTTAGTGGGAATTTAGTCGAGCGGTAGATTGTCCGGTAGAGACAGAAGGGTCACTAGTTCGAACCCCAGCGGAGGCAGGTTGTTTTTCATTACTCCTTCCTATTACAGATTTGGTGCCGTGACCACTCCAAGGATAGAAGCTATAGGAAATTGAGATGCGTCCTTGGATATAATGAACCTGAGTTGTGGTTGTTTTCGGGATAGCAGACTTTGTGGAGGAGAGAGTAGTGTAGAAGTTGAGAGTACAGGTCGCCTTACTAACCTCGGTTAATGGGAATTTCCCTTTGGTCGAACAGTAGAGTGTCCGGCTAGAGACCGAAGGGTCGCCAGTTTGAACCCAGCCTGGGGCAGTGTGTTTTTCATTACTCCTTCCTATACAACCTATGTATGGCAGTGTCATCATTATTTGTTGATACCTACTTCGATAAACGGAAGCCAATCAGCTGCCACATATATCCATAGTAAATGAAGATGCGTTGTAATGTGTTTTCCGCAACCAAGCACGTCTTTCTTGGGTCTCTTTAACAAATTTAGGCTTTAGTTTAGGACAGGTGTGTTGAGGTATTTCTGAAAGACTTCCTATGATGGTATTTTGTCTGCCGATAACATGTGACAAATACCAACACAACTTCATGGCAAAGAAAATACAAGTATTCCTTGGACAGTTATTATGTACGGTGAGCGACATTTTCATACTTCATTTCCAATATTGTTCTTTCTAAAAACATTTCTGAGAGGGGTTGGCTGGAATAGAATTGTCTTCACGACTTCTCATTCCATGATGTTAAGTGACATTTTAGTGTTGAATATATCACCGTGCCCATTAAATGCCGTCTTTTTATTATGGAGGCTATATTGCATCCCGTAGTTTGTGATACTTGTATGTTCTATCACCCAAGGTCTGTATTCGTGTTAGGATGGTTCCTCTGTAAATTAAACACGAGTTGGCAGTGACCGAAATCCATCTTCCTTTATTTGATACAGTATTGTTAATTAAAACGACATCTCTTGCCCCTTTCAATATCCAATGTCTGTCTTGTTGCCAGTGTCTTTTCTTTTTCAATTATATAAACGCTCCATCAGACTGACTGTAATGTCAGAAAGACGAGTTGCCCCATTCAGACCGTAATTCGCTCGGACTTGTCCAGCTGATCCATGCCCTAGTCAGGTCATTACTTGAAAGGTTACATTTGATACTACTGGTCTGTACATATCCCACACAAGAGTCACTCGGTCAAGGCTTTACAGTCATTACATGTAGGAAATGAGAACGTTAATTATTCAATACGTCACAAAGCGTTTTATTGATAGGGAATTTTATGGAGTGGCCTAAAAACACTATCACCGAGGTTTTCACGTCTGCGTCTCTATGTGTACATCAGTAATTCCATTCATAACATTTCTCATAAGCGATTCCATGTGAAGCACTATTCAGCAAACCTTCCCCACCCCCCTCCTCCCTTTTTCCCCTTGTAATTCGGTAAAATTAGATGCAGCAGGAAGACCAAGGTTTGAATTTGGATATTACAAAAGTGATGCTTCTGTTTCATTCTTTGGTTGCATTGTTTCACGTCCTGGCGACAGCTATGGTGATTTTAGGCCGGTATTCCGGTGTATGCGAGGTAAGTGCTTATTTTGAGTTTCGTGTTTAGCGGGAGGCTGTAATATAATTGGGAAATGAAGCCGACTTTAAAGTGCTACACGACACTTCAGTATACTGACAAAGACCCCAGGCAGGACGCAACACTCGGGCACATTATACTGATGTTATAATAACTCGTGTCTTGGCCTAAAGAGATTATGAAAACCGTAAAAGACTTTTACAACTCATGGAATAATACATTGAAATACATATACTTTTCCTTCCCTTCTACGATTCCCACAAACTGGCCCATGTGTACAGAGGGAATAAATAAACTTCACTCAACTCGACCTCAGGGACAGATCGACTCAGGTTAAAGATACCACCTAAATCTTAAGTCGAAGGGAACCACTAAATTCTTAAGGCGAAAGGGAGACCACTCGATTCTGAGGATGAATAGAAGCCCCTCGATTCTAAATGTGAAGGGAGGCCGCTGGAATTTTAAATTGAGGAAATACCACTCTTGTATGAATGTGACAGCAGTTAATGAGAGAGCCCAAGATTATGCAGATGAAGGGAGATGACTCTATTCTGCGAGTAAAGGGAAACTACTCGGACTCCAAGTTAAGGAAGACCAAAAGCAGCAAAGCGTGAGACCGTTTTTACAGATACAGCGTCATGCAGCCATAAACATTGTTTTTCCCGATCAGCAGTAACAATGACTGATTAATGAAACATCACCAATTAAAGAAACCAGTCTGATTCACAATGACGCCCGAGAGCTGTTCTGCGTGGAAGAAGAGCATACTAGCCCGGATATAGTTAGTCTAATTACCCACTAACCATCACATACCACTGCAAAAACATCGCGAAATCTATTTACATTTTCGATCTGCACAGAACGCTGACTTGAGCTTAATCAGATTTCTCGGTGTTTTGTCTAGATGCATAATTAACTCTATACACAATGGCTCAGTCTGAAATGAAGTTTGTGTAAAAACTGAAATACAAAACTAAAATAACTGGAACAATTATCAAGTCACGTTCAACATACGTTCATCATAACACGTGTATACTATACGATGTATGTACGACACGTGTCTACTAATGTATTCGTCGCCTTCACTTCAATGAAGCATTTAAAACAATAAACATGTTTTCTCTATATTGGATAGAAGCCTAATCATTCGATGAAGACATTTGGTCAGGAGGTTGTATTTTGTTGTTATTTTTTCACTCTAGATACAATCTCCATTTCTAAAATGCACGTGTTTTTAAACTGCCTGTATATATTGTTCTGATGCAGCTTGATGTCACGTGACAGGGTGACTTGTGAAACTACGGGTATTTGGCCACGATCTGAAAGGTTCTAGAAGTTTAGATATTGTGTTACAGTGTTTTAGTGTATCTTATATAATAGCTTGCGTTGATGGCGAATTATGTGTAACTAAAGGTATACCGGCAAGACTTTTTAGAATAAATCAAACACTAAATAACTGATTGGAATACTGTGATTATATTGCCGAGTGTATGTCTCGTCCTCACCACCCACACTTCTCCGTATGTCCCCAATCGATTCAGTGTTACTTAGAGCCTCCCTGTGCTAAATCTGGTACTAACAGTACGCGATCTCTGAGCGTGACATCTTAGTATGATAATGAAGCATTCTAAGAATTCAAACTATATCCTATATATACAAGAAGCATTTTGGTTTCAGTCGACTTACATTTAGATTCGACACATCGGTATTGTGTTAGAGGCAGTCAATCTGACGTCGTCAGTTATCACAACCAATAATGTTTCGCTCTATTGGTCCACTTCCTACATGTATCACTTGACAGAACTGAAATTCTAGGCTTATGATTTCAAGATTGATGCCCTACCATTACACTAAGGAGCCCTACCAGTACACTAAGGAGCCCTACCAGTACACTAAGGAGCCCTACCAGAGCCCTACCAGAGCCCTACCAGTACACTAAGGAGTCCTACCAGTACACTAAGGAGCCCTACCATTACACTAAGGAGCCCTACCATTACACTAAGGAGCCCTACCAGTACACTAAGGAGCCCTACCAGTACACTAAGGAGCCCTACCAGTACACTAAGGAGCCCTACCAGTACACTAAGGAGCCCTACCAATACACTAAGGAGCCTTACCATCACACTAGGGAGCCTTACCAGTACACTAAGGAGCCCTACCATTACACTAAGGAGCCCTACCATTACACTAAGGAGCCCTACCAGTACACTAAGGAGCCCTACCATTACACTAAGGAGCCCCCTACCAGTACACTAAGAGCCCTACCAGTACACTAAGGAGCCCTACCAGTACACTAAGGAGCCTTACCATCACACTAGGGAGCCTTACCAGTACACTAAGGAGCCCTACCATTACATAAAGGAGCCCTACCATTACACTAAGGAGCCCTACCAGTACACTAAGGAGCCCTACCATTACACTAAGGAGCCCTACCAGTACACTAAGGAGCCCTACCAGTACACTAAGGAGCCTTACCTAGCCCTACCAGTACCTACCAGTACACTAAGGAGCCCTACCAGTACACTAAGGAGCCCTACCAGTACACTAAGGAGCCTTACCATCACACTAGGGAGCCTTACCAGTACACTAAGGAGCCTTACCATCACACTAGGGAGCCTTACCAGTACACTAGGGAGCCCTAACAGTACACTAAGGAGCCCTACCATTACACTAAGGAGCCCTACCAGTACACTAAGGAGCCCTACCATTACACTAAGGAGCCCCCTACCAGTACACTAAGGAGCCCTACCATTACACTAAGAAAAATTCTCACTAGCCAACCACAGTAAGATGACACGTGATTTCAAGGGTGATTCTCTCTACCAATTCACTTACGGGAGATTCTGACTAGCCGACACCGGTGAGATGACATGTGATCACGAGGTCGATGTCCCACCACTAGACTACGGGGAGATTCTCACCAACCAAGGCGGAAATGAGGCATGTTGTCTCAGGCCGAAGCCCTACCATAAGACTAATGGGAATTTCCCATTAGTTGAGACAAATAAGCTAACATTTGATATCGAGGCTGTTGCTCTACCTCCAGACTTACAGAAAAATTCACACTAACCTAGAAAAGTAAAATAACATGTTATCTTGATTTCGATGCTCTGCCACCAGACTTTGGCGCAATTCTCACTAGCTGAGACAAGAAATGTGGTCTGTGTTCTTAACGTAGAATCCCAGCACAAAGTACCATTAAACATGAGGGAAATCCTCACTAACTGAGACAAGAAATGTGGTCTGTATTCTTAACGTAGAATCCCAGCACAAAGTACCATTAAACATGAGGGAAATCCTCACTAACTGAGACAAGAAATGTGGTCTGTGTTTTTAACGTAGAATCCCAGCACAAAGTACCATTAAACCTGAGGGAAATTCTCACTAGCTGAGACTTGAACCATGACACATGAGATCAAAGCTGAATCCCTAACTACTAATACTACAGGGAAATTCTCGCTAGTCGTTACGAGTAAGGTTGTGATTTACCATTAGAGTAGAACGTACAACTTTTATGTATACCTGGCCTTCTGGATACATTCGGCTGTGATAACACAAATCCTACCAGCGTGACATTGTTATTATCTGTTGATTTGTTTTCAAATAAAACGAACACCAACCGCCATGACGGAAAACTTGACTCCTCCGTTGTCGCGAGACTTCTGAACTTCTACCCTAACCATACCCTTATTATTTTACTTACCAGATAGGTAATTTTTTACTTATTCTGTCAATGTTTGCTAACTTTGTAGAGTATCATACATATACCAAGTTTGAAAATATGTCATACTCAGAAATGAGATTTGAGATAAAATCGTGCGTAGGCGTGTTTATACGGTCAGTATCGATATGACTTCGTGAATCCGATTATAAACATTAAATAGCACGATATAAAACTTAGAATTCTATATTGCAGGACTAATCAAACATTGGGAAATAACACCTGAAACTTATCGTTAGGAGGATTACACTAAGATGGACTCACCTCGAACAGACAGGAAGTTCGTCCATCAAATGATTGTTAACAGGAAGCCTGCATAAAATCAAAGATTGTCTTATAGAAAATGGATTATAATATGTTAGTTGTTAACCCTTTCCCATTATCTATAAATACTTTAATGGGTTCAGTGGAGTGACTATGCACAGTATTATCTGTTCAATAAAGAAGAGAAAATAATATTAATTACCTTGAATGATCTTTATACACTGTAATGTTGTATCCAATTTAAGATGTTTTCGTCTGTTTCTCGAGACTCGTACCAGATAAAGACACCCCCACCCGATAGTTTACAGCACCCGGACGTTTATAGACGTTCGCAACCTTAACTTCCACATGTATCCAATTATCCTCCCTAACAACAGAGACCTATTAATCAGAAAAATCGATTTTAATGAGCTTACAATTTTCAATTGGGAATTAAAGAATTGAGCAGCCATGTACATGGGCTTTAGGCTCGCGTGCCAAGTGGGTGATCACTTGGGATGAGGCATTCGACTTTTCTCGTCCCTAATTACGTGGCATTGTATCACCAGCAGATATGACACGCTGATTTGTAATCGCCTGCCAATGAAATGGCAATGGACTCAGTGGCGTCACAGCAGGACCGATGAAGCACAGCCGTGCTTTTTTTAGCGACACAAGTGACAGATAGAAGTAAACCTTCGACATTCGTGATCCCCCCAATACAATGAACAGCGGGCGGAAGTAAAGATAGACCTAACGTACCGGAAGGTGGATATAAACACAATAAAGAGATACCGACATGTTAATGGAACCATAATTCAACCACAAAATCGATGAAAGTAGAGTAAAACACTCCTAAAAAGTACTAGGATAATACGACTAGGTGTGCCGAAAGGGTCAGCGTTTTCATGTTCATCGCCAATACCCGATATATATGCAAACCTTGGTCAATTATAATACAAATGACGAAATGTCACGTTTCCAAGTGAGAATAAGGTAAACAGCGAAACCACCATATATACAAACGAGAATCAAACACGCCCACATTCATATCGCACAAAAGGAACGCATTTCTGATGAGATTATTTTCACCACCATAAAACTTCCAAATCATTTTCATCGACCTGCATCTCTTGAAATCCTGTGAGTTTATCAGTTGCCGACATCTTGCAAGAAAATCGTGACATTAGAAAGAAGCCCTAGAATATCGAATCAACTGCGACATGTAAACACCGTAGGTTGGGGATGTACCGAAGTTATTATTCATAAATGGAAAATTCATTATAAAGAAACTGATGTCATCACGCTTACCATACAGCTTGGTGATGCAAAGATGTCTATGTTGGTTGTAGGAAATGACCGAGAATAGCGGCATAGTTGTGAACAGAATGGAAAAATAAGATGTTCTTATAGCAGAAATGCTTTTAATGGAAGATGTTGAAAACTAGTCAAAAGCTCTTTAGAGTCCTTCAAAATCCACATACTATGAAGTCCACTTGTAGAGTAAACAGTACCATGATAAGATTGCCGCCCTTGTTTGCTAGTTCTTAGAATAGCATGAAAAAGATTTGACAAAGGTTTGGCTGAACCAGAAATAAAACACTATTTATATGGATTCTTGTATAGCTTGGGAATCCAAAACAAACGAGGGAGTTCCGTATCCTTATCACCAATAGGCAATCTACATCATAGCATGATTAGCCAATACTTTGAAAAGATTGCATAATGTATAGGTGGGGTATCCTTCCTTATCAGGCAAACATACTTGTTCTTTGTGTATGCATGGAATGATGTGAAGCCTGTAGACAAGGATCCGGTTATTGGATCTGTATACACAATGATACAAATGTACATCGGCAAGTGTCTATTTAGCTTCAGCAGCGAGGAATACTTGTGTTCATTTTTATTTCAGGTTTTAAGCTACTGATTAATTTAAGAATATGAGACCAAATGGATCTAACTCACTCTGAAAGTGAATCCAAAGCAGCATGTTCTCGTTTTAACCACTTTCTGCCATAGTAAACACTCAATATTCGTGGTCGCTCGAATACAAAAGGTCTGAAGTGAACATGTGCCATTCCTGGTAACCCTAATACAATGAACATTAGTCGAAAGCAAAATAGCCCTACTGTTCGAATTAAAGTAAACACACGGTAGTTTTGATGGCCCTATTACAGAATGGAGGACTGAAGTAAAGCACCATCATTCGTGAAGGTTTTAAGATCAGAAGCGAAAACACAATCGCAAAGAGCAGTTACATTGTAATATCCGACATTTGATGCGGCTTGAAATGAGTTATGCATCTTCACCGAGTCATTTTATTACTAGTATCAAATCTGCTTACCTGTCGTTAAGATACTTAAACACGTGACGTTATTAAGGCAAAATGATTAGCTGTTGCTTGAATGATAATAGTGGCAGGTTTCTGATGTTAAATAGGTCATACAACTTATTTGATGTATAGTACATGTGTATATGATTCCATTTTATACTTTATAATAATACTGATATAAAGTATGAGGGAATGCGCTAATTGCTCTGATAAACAATCTCGAAGGACCTTCCGCTTGGTGTTCAACACGGTAGCTACAAATACTCTCCAGATGTTAATTACAAAAGAGAAGGTATCGAACCTAAAAATTTTAAAATCGATAGATAATTGAAATATATCCTCAAATCTAACCCACTATGAATATACGTACAGTTATTGTTCACGTTGTAGACATGAAACATCTCGCTCTGTAATTTTCATTTTAATTCAGCTGCAAGGCAGATACTTTTAGCTCACGTGTGGGGATCAAAAGCTGCTGACATAATTTAGAAATATCAATCTATTCCAATTGCACTAATTTATTTATCAGAAACTTTTACCGCACATACCATATTTCATATGCCAACATCACTCATGTCTCGATCATTTGTTGATAAATACCAAGCGTCACTTCCAACAGCGACCGTACTGGATATAACGCCGCGCGTGCACCAGAGGCCGAGTAGGCCGCGAGAGCAGCACGTGAGTGGGGATGTGTATTAGATTCGTTATGCTGGCCGTATTAAAACTAATGATGGATGAAATATGATTGGAAGTTATTGAAAATTGTTTCTCTATTGTGTGTGGTTCTTTAAAGGTATATTTTATGCTGTTCTACATGTATGATAAGAGGTTCCCGCCTACAACAGAGCCGGTGACTACAGTATAACACACGGGATTTGAAGCGGAACCATTACGATATCCAAAACTGTAAGTGTTCTTTAAATACTATAACAGATAAGGCTGACCATG